GGGTGGGGGCCGGCGCAGTGGCTCGCTTGGCTAATCCTCCACCTGCGGCACCAGCATCCCATATGGGCACCGGGTTCTAGTTCCGGATGCTACTCTTCTTGTCCAGCTCTCTGCTGTGGCCGGGGAGGGCAGTGGGAGATGGCCCAAGTGCTTGGGCGCCTGCACCCGCGTGGGAGACCAGGGGAAGCACCTGTCTCCTGGTTTCGATTGGCATAGCTCCGGCCGTGGCGGCCATTTTGGGGGTAAACCAACGGAAGGAGGACCTTTCTCTCTCTCTCTCAATGTCTAACTCTGTCAAAAAAAAAAAAAAAAAAAGCATGGATGTGCAAGGAAAGGATACATGAAGTGAAGGAGTTGCTCTCAACTAGAATTTAATTTCTGAAGAGGAACATCAATCACCCCTTCATCAGAGATAAAGGCATCAAGATGAAGCACCCCAAATCTTCCACAGCAGCAGCACATTGCTTCAGACAAGAGTGCTCAGTGTTTATCTTCGTTCTGGTTTTCCATCTTGTCAAAATAGACACTATGATTAAAATGCAAAAAGAATATGACTTATGCTCCCAAATCTAGAGAATTATACTTGTGTTTCAGATTCTTTCAGATTTGAGAACCATTCATTTATTCCTCAGTTTTGTCTGGCTGTACAATGTGATATGGAAGCACTATGACCTAGGGAACACAGAAGCTTATTAAAGGTATTAAACGTTATTAATTTCACTTCATTCAATTAATTGACACTCTGTTAAAGTGCATTTCTATTCATATACATGTAACATGGTATCTATACATTGAAAGCTATACTCAACAAATGGATACTGAAAAAAGTAATATGTGTCAATGTATAAACAGAAGAATCAAACACAATAAGAATCTGAGTTTTCTTTTGAATAAAGAAGGGCCAAACAAAACATGCATTCTACTAATCAAGGTATTTGATTGACAGAACATCATATTGTTTAACCATGATTATTATAGAGAAATTACTAAGGCTATATAGAGAAATGACTAAGCCAAATTAATTAATAAAATGCATTTCAGGGAGAAGAAAAATGAGACAATAGTTGACAGTGCTAATAAAAAAATAGCTCATTTTTACAAAGTTTCTTTTTTGTTGTCCTGAATCATCACCTTAGTTTCAGGAAGTAGAGTAAACTGACACAGAGTCAAAGCAGTGTTGAAAACCCTTCTATTCAGGCAGATTCCATGGAACATTCACCACCTCTGACTCCAATGTGGACATGTCATCTGCTCTGACGTATTGACTCATTAAAAACCAGCAGCAATGTCTCCAGAGCTGAATCTCTTTCATTCATTATTCAATATTGGTATATTTTGGTATAAAGGATTGTATGCATTTGAAATTTGTCTTCGAAATGAAAAAAAACTTCAGTTTTTATAAGTGTTCAGCCATTTCTGTTCAAATGTGTGACCAACTTAAAAGATTCAAAAGAAGCACATGTGAACAGGAAACATTTTTAAGAATTTTTTCCTCATTGGATTGTTTTATTAGACATTGAATTTCTGTTACTGATCTTCACTAAACTGCATAGGAGGATGAAAAAGAACTGCCTCAAACTTAAAAACCAACTAGCAAAACTTAATTGTGGAAATGACATGATCTGGAAATGCTATTTCTACTGTTTTATTCAATAAATTAAAATAGTTAGACAAGTATATTTTATGAGTCACTTAACATCAAGAGCCAATATTTAAGCACTGTGTTATAGGCCAAAATGGGAAAGTGGCAATGTAAAAGTAGCTTTGCTGCCAAACGTAGACATTAATTTAATGAAAATAAGATTTATTCTTTAAATAATTTACACACTGGCAAGGACATTGACTGATTCACCATGGTAATCTACATACTTGAAATGTCAAAAGATAATTTTATTGAGATCAAACGATAATTGTGTGGATGAGCATGAGACTAAAAAAAGGAAAATCCAAGGAGCCACGACTTGGTTATTTTTTATTTTTCCTCTTTGTATTACAAGCTAACAATAAAATGAAATTCTACTTGATATCTGACAACAAGTAATATTCATGCACAAGGAATAAAAAGTATATACTGAAATAATCAATAATAGATACATATTAGCCAAGAACTTATTACTCATCTCCACATGTAACCAAAAGAAGGAAGGCACTGTGGCAGGCATTGAAGGTAAACAGTTATAAGAAGAAAATAGTGCTGGTTATCCTTTAGGCAGGCCTCTACCATCACAAAGCTGACTGATAGAAACATGATTTTTTACTGTCTTGATTGAAGAGAACAGATTTCAAGGCAACTACAATAATTGGAAAATGAGAAAAGAAGCCCCATTGACAAAAGAGAGAACTAAAGAGTTGTAGGCTCAAATTCTATAAATTTTGCCCAAATCTTTGACTGACCTGTAAACACTTGTTATAGGGGCAGACTCTTCAGGGCTCAGCCAAGTCTAATAAAATTGACTTGAGATTTTAGCATTTGCCCACACAAAGGGAGATTGAGTTGAAAGGTTGAACCCATTTAAATGAATGCCAGAACTTTGGTTGGGGTGGGCAACACTGCAGAGAAACATAACATAATACAGAATCCCTATAATGTAAAATCACAATATGTGGTATGCAGTCCTCAATAACTAGATTTATGAAAAATCAGAAAAACATGAACCATGTATAATCATTAGAGACTTATCTCTAAATTAAGTAGATATTAAATTTAGCAAAGATTTAAAAACAGACCTAACAACCCCCACAGTGACTAAATATTTAGGAATCATAATAAATCAAACCAATAAGCTATCAAAATGTTTTATAACTCATGCCATAAGCAAAAATCTTTCACAATGACTTGAAACCACATTCAAATTTAGAGTTCTTGAAAGGAAACCATTGTACACCACTGGGGAGAATGCCAATTAATATAGCTGTTATGGAAAGCAGTACAGATACTCTTCTAAAAATGGAATTACAATATAATTCAACAAACCCAATACTAGGGTACATATCCAAAGGCAATGAAATCAGAATATCGATGATATATCTGCACTCTCATGTTTATTACAACACTATTCACAATAGCCAGGAAATGGAATCAACCTAAGAGTTCATCAGTGGATGAAGAAAGGAAATGAGGTACATATACATGATGAAAACTACACAGCTTTTTAAAGCTCGGAAATATTGTCACTTGCAACAACATGGATAACTCTTGAGGACATTATGTTAAGTAGAATAAATCAAGCACAAAGAGACTAATATCGTATGTTCTAACTTATATGTGGAATCTAAACAAGTCAAACTTACAAATCCAGCATCAAATGGTGGTTACTAAAGTGGGTTAAGAATAGGTAGGGACTGGAGAAACATTGGTCAAAGGATACAAAATTTCATTTAGACAGTAGGAATAAGTTCAGAACTAGTATATAACATGGTTGCTAGAGATAGAAACAATGTATTGCACTGGTATACTTAAGTAGATTTTACATGTTCTCACCATACACACAAAAAATGTGTGAAGTAATGTAATAATTAGTTAATTAGCTTGATTTGACCATTTCAAAACGTGTGTGTATATATCTGAAAACAACTTATTGCATATTATAAATATATATTTTCATCTATATTAAAAAAAATTAAAAATCAGGAAGATCTTGAAGTCCTAGGCCAGAAGAGGATAGCCCCAGAAGGGGGTGGCAGCACCCTAGCTGCATTCGTACAACGTCTTTCCCTAATCACGCTCAACTCAAGTGCCCTGTGCGCCTACCTGTAGACACTTCAACTTATAAGTCTACAGGGGAGTTCACTGTATGGTTAGTTCACACTCCAGAGGACACACTGGAGAAAGGTCTATCTATGTAAGTTTGGAAAGTTGGCTAACGACCTTTCATGTCTAGAATCCTAAGACACTTAGTTCCTTAATTACGATCTGAAGGATCCCAGGCTCTAGGCGGGTACATCTCCCTTGTTCCTTAGACTTTTGGATCTTAGAAAAAGATACATCCAGAGGAAGGTTAGAACAGATCCTTCTAAGTGTGGAGTGGAGGACAGGGTTCCCTTTGGGTAGGGCTGAAGTAGTACAGTTCATAGAAGACCTTGGGCTTTGTATGAAAACAGAAAAGCTTCCTGTCATTGATCTTCTACTTACTGCTTATGTGACCATAAATAATTAATTACCTCAAGTTTCTATGCCTCAGTATCCACATGTATAAAATGGGAATAATAGTCTCTATGGCTTTATAAGGATGAAGTGAGATTATGCTCCTATGCACAAAATAAGCTCTCAATTTTGGCTGTTAGCATTAATTTAAGATTTTGTGGGTTATTCTCATTATCATACAATTATTATAGTCCCACCTATCTATAGGATTTTCATCTCTGCAAAGTTTTAAAGTACAGACTGTTAACTTTTAGAAATCATCTCATATCAGCCCTTGTCCTGATTGTCGAGGGACAACTTACTACTTTATTCCTTTTAGTATTTTTTGTTACACTTAATACCATTGGTTGAACTCTTTGATTAACACACAATTATTCTTAGGTGTTTAAATTTAACTGAAAAGTGATCCCTGTTAAATATAAGACTGGGAATAAGAGAGGGAGGAGATATACAGTTCAGCACATGCTCAATCAGACTTACTCCTAATGGTAGAGTTAGAAACGTGCCAGGGGATTCCAATTCAATCCCATCAAGGTGGCATGTATCAATGCCATCTCACTAGTCCAAGTGATCAATTTCTGTTCACAATTGATCATAATGATAGGATTAAGAGTCAAAGGGATCACATAAACAAGACTAGTGTCTGCTAATACTAACTGATAGGATTAAAAAGGAGAGAACAATCCAACATGAGAAGTGGGATACACAACAGACTCATAGAATGGCAGATGTCCTAAACAGCACTCTGGCCTCAGAATCAGCCCTTAAGGCAATCGGATCTGGCTAAAAAGCCCATGAGAGTATTTCAGGAATGGAAAGCCAAGACACTCTGGCAAAAAAAAAAAAAAAAAAAAAAAAAAAAAAAAAATGACCTAAATGGAAGATCTCTGTGAGTGAGATCCCAGCGGAAAGAATGGGCCATCAAAGAAGGAGGTACCTTTCTCTGAAGGGAGGAGAGAACTTCCACTTTGACTATGGCCTTGTCGAAAGAAGATAGGAGTTGGCAAACTCAAGAGGCTTCCATAGCCTTGGCAGCTCATGACAAGAGCCTCAGGTGATTACTGATGTTGTAAATAAGAGTGTCAATTGTTAAATCAACAACAGGAGTCACTGTGCACTCACTCCCCATGTAGGATTTCTGTCCTTAATGTGTTATACTATGTGAGTTAACGGTATAACTAGTACTCAAATAGTACTTTATACCTTGTTTTTCTGTGTGGGTGCAGACTGTTGAAATCTTTACTTAGCATATACTAAATTGATCTTCTGTATATAAAAATAATTGAAAATGAATCTTGATGTGAATAGGATGGGAGAGGGAACAGGAGATGGGATGGTTGTGGGTGGGAGGGTGGTTATGGGTGAAAGAAGCCGCTATAATCCAAAAGTTGTACTTTGGAAATTTATATTTATTAAATAAAAGCTTAAAAAATAGAAAAAAGATCATCTAACTTGATTTTTTTAGAAAAGCACTGTAGAACCTGACCAAAAAGTGAGACTCTAAAATTCTTAGCTTCCAGATTCTGAATAATGCACAAGTTCTTGCAATCATTCATAATAAATGAGATTACTTGCATTTATTAAATGTCTATTAAATGCTAGGTTCTGGGCATAAAGCTCCATACACATAATTTCAGTTAATGTCTTTGAAAAAGATATAAAGCAGAATTTTTCTCCGTCTTACAGATGAACAAACTAAAGTTCAACAGGGTCAACATATAAATCATACTGCTATTAAGAAGACGGATTAAGATTCAAATCAAGTGGCTTCCATAATTTTTGATTCAAGTACTTGGAAAAGTACCACCTTTTGTGAGAAATGCCTTTTGTCATACATAAAATGTAAGGTACATAAAGTTATTCTGTTTTCATGGCCTTTTTGGCCATAATTCCCAGTTCATACACTATGAATAAATAATTACCACACATTATATAAAGATGTTTACTGTATTTACATGCACAGTACAGATCCATTTCTTCCTACCTACACTTATGCACGGTCCAAAGGCAAAATTCATGAACTGCAGACCAAAGAAGGAACTACTCAAGTGAAAGACAAAGAGATATAAAATGAGAAGGGAATGGGGCAGAGAAAGAGAAAAGAGAGTTTTCAACTCCTATTGATGTGAGCAGCATTGAAACTCTAGTACAACATGCAGTAACATTGGCCCTTAGCAGGGAAAGAAAATGATTATCAATGCCATGTTGCTCTCAACCATCCCACTCCCTCCTTTCCAGCTACATGAGTATTATTGAGTCTTCAGCTCTCTGTCAACAGTGTCTCAGGGCACAGAAATCACTAAAGAGTAACCCTGTCAATCAGCAGAGAAGAGGATCCAGAACACCCCAAGAACTCAGACTATCCAGAAATACAGGGCACACTCAAGACAGGCACTGAGCTCCTTTTCATGTTGCTGCATTAACTTTCATTTCCCAAACAACAGCAGGCACCATATCCTGTCTAGTCTTTTTTATCTCTCATATACTGCATACAATCTAGCAATTTAATATAGCTTGTCTTGCTTTGTTAGTTTTCGGTTTCAGTTTTCAGAGCTTGCCAGCCCAAGTAGAAATTAGGTTTCCCAGGGCAAGTACATTGCCTTAAACCACCCTTTTTTATGCAGAGACCCTTGGCATGCCACTGGAGAGTAGGGCTTGTTTTCAAACAAACCAAGTGAAGGGGAAAAAAAAAAAAAGCGTTTGGCCAAATAGGAAATCAAGGAACCTACATCAGATATTCTTTTCTTGTCCTCTTGACTTCCTAATTTTCTCAGAATTCTACATGTTCTACTTCCCTGCTTAATGTGAAGAGCCTTTCTCTCTCATCAGACTGTGAGCCCTGGGACAGAGGTCAATCAGGTATGTGTTGTTCACCATTGATTTCGCAGAGTACAATGGGATGGGCTGGTGCATAGTGAGCACAAAGCACATGTTTGTTGAATGAAGCAAATGGCTGAGTAGCCAGAGGAATGGGCAAAACTAGTCAGACAATGCTTTCTATCTGCAGATTCTTCGATTCCCCTAAGCCTTGCAAGACAGGTATAACAGAAGGAACATGATGTCTTCATTCTTCCAGCTGTGGTCAAGGGTTGGGCAGGTAGGAATTTTTCAAAAAAAAAAGGGCATTTAAGAACTATTTTTAGGGCTTAAGGGAGTGAGAAAGAGTGGGCTGAACTAAAGGCCTGACAGGGGCAAAGCACAGTCAACAGAGACCTTGCTTCAAAGTATAGATTTAAATCCCAACTGTGATGCTATTCAAGTTTTCAGGTCTTAAGTGAATTTTTTCCTCTTCCTACATTTTTCTTAGTTTTTTTGATGAGTTTGATTTCTGAACTGAAAAAGTCATAATTATTCAGATTGTTTATTAAGCACTTACTACATGCTCAATTGTGTGACAGACATAAAGAGACACAAAGAAAGCAAGAGTCCTTGCCAAAAAGGAGCTTAGTAATTAGTTCTAGGCTTAGAAGGGTCAAAAGTTATATTTGCTTGTGTATATTGCCAAGATCACTGCATAGCCTTCTCCTCTCCTTATACTGACATTGGTATTAAATTAGTGCAAACTCAGTTTGCTATTATTGAACATGCATGTTTCAAATAACCAGAGTCTCTCCCATGTTTGTAAACTGAAAGGTGTGGATTTTTAAAGAAAGTCTGGGGCAGATTATTTGCAGATTCTGGGGACAAAGAGAGTTCTTGAAAAGATATTATGATGATTAATGGTTTTTAAAGCTATGACTGCTTTATGGTTTCAAAAATGCTGAGAGATTTTTCTCATTTTTCAAGTGAAATGTTATGTTAATTGGTGTTTTACTGGCAGTTTTAAAATCCATGACAGAGTTGATAAGAAAGCTATTCTATGCGTAGCTGCTCTTGGACTAACAGAAACCCAAGAGTTTCTAGGGAGTGACAGGATGATACCTTGGGAGAAGGAAACGTAGTTGAGAAAGCAGCACACACTAGATGAGGAACTGGCTGCTTGCCGGTGTGAAGTATGAACTGAGGGCCAGCCAGCTTTGAGTTACTGCTGCAGAGGCTGTTTTTACTGTAGCTGCTGACAATAATGCTTCAGCAGTCAATCCTGATTTGATAATGGTTGCTAAAGAATGAAAGATAGTAAATGTCATTGGTTACATGAAAGAAGCCACAGAAACCCCTAGAATTGAGAGGTGATACTGACATGGCTGTTTCTATCTTCCAAATTGATAAACAAGACTCAGAAACTTCTGTGTGGGGCAGGTGTTTTGACACTTGCGAAGCTGGCATCCCGTAATTGGAGAGCAGGACTGAGTCCCAGCTGCTCTACTTCCCACCTAGCTTCCTCTTAATGCACCTGGGAAAGCAGTGACTGATAGTCCCAGAGCCTGTGTACCTTAAACTCATGTGGGAAACCAGGATGGAGTTCACGCTGTCCTGGCTTCAGCCTGGCCCAGCCTTGTGTTTTTGTGGGCATTTGGAAAATGAAACAGTGGGTGCATGGAAGATCGATTAATCTCTCTCTCCCCACCCTCCCTCTCTGTATTATAATTCAATCAATTAATCAATGAAAACCTTTTCTATAAAAAAGGAAACTTCTGCGGGAAAAAAAATCTGTTGATAAAGATAGGCTAGCAGGAAATGTAGACTTTCCTTCTCACAGCTATGGAGGAGTCTATTTTTTTAAGATTTACTTTTTTTATTTGAAAGAATGAGTGAGTGAGTGAGAGAGAGATCTTCCATCCACTGATTCACTCCCCAAATGGCTGTAATGGCCAGGGCTGGGCCATACCAAAGCCAGTAGCCAGGAGCTTCTTCTGGGTCTCCCACATGGGTGCCGGGGCCCAAGTGGTTGGACCATCTTCCACTGCTTTATCAGGCACAATAGCAGGGAGCTGGATCAGAAGTAGAGCAGCTGGGACTCAACCCTGCACTAGAAGGGTCTATTTTATGCAGTTCTCCTCAGGGTCCTCAAGGAGGCACAGAAGAAGTGCAACTACAGAGTATTTGAAGAATAAAGAAGGGAAAAATTGGATGTCCTTGACCTTACACATTTTATGGGACATTTAAACTAGTGTCCTTTTGTTATTGGGACCAGCTGTTAAAATACTATTTGAATTTAAAAGTCCACAATTCCAGTGAGAGAAATGAGCAATTGGAATTGAAATACTTTGTCCAATAAAAAGCACACATTTGTATGTGTCTAAAGGACATTTTCAACTTAGCAAATCATGACAGCAAGATCATTACCTCATCACCAGGGAGAAATAATGTTCCTTATTTGCTATGGCAGTGGGACCTGGCCATGGAACAAAAAGCAGGATCCAGTTATTCAGATAACTCGTAAACATCTCTACATTTGGAATGTGAAGGGATGAGTCTATTTTGATTATCTTAATGGTGTTAAAATGCAAGATTTCATAAACATTAATAACCAGGGATTAATTAATTAATAGGGGTTCAGGCCACAAATTTTACCAAAAACGCTAAGTATGCTAGAAAAATAAAACCTGCAAACAGAACTGTGTTTTTCTTATTTTAATCTCATAAAATGAGAATGTAATGGTTAATGACAACTGGTTTCACATAAAATTTATTTGTTTCACTTTAAAAGCATTAGTCCTGAAACCATGCCTCTAGCCCTAATGCCTTTGATTTAGACCCCAGGATCTCTTCCTTGGTTTGCAGGTCCTCTGTAAATAAAGATTAACTCATTAAATTTAGGGAGTGACACCTAGTAAAGCCAGAAGCAAGACCCTGAATCATAAACGCTGGAATTGCCCCTATAGTTAAACATGAGAAGCCCTGATCAAACAAATACCCAATCTACCCTTTGGCCCAGATAAACCTGAGAACACCTTTGCCATATCAGAATAAACACACTGGCCCCTATTACTGACCAGTCAAAGGAAGGCCCTGAGTACTCTGAACCAACCAGAGGCCTCACATGAGCTGGTCATGCACTGCTCACCCCCAACTTTGAATTATAAGATTCACCTCCTTTCATCCCTTGGGAAGTCCAGGAATTGAGCATTAGCTGCGTGATTGCTTGCTCTGTACATGACAAACAAAAGGCTTTCTTCCACCAACCAGCCCAGTGTCAATAATTGGCCTGCTATGCATCAGGAGAGTAGACCCAATTTGGGGAGTGTTCTGTAACAGAACCCATTACAGACAAGAATTGGCTCTCGTTTTGTTTTGTTTTAAAGATTTACTTATTTGAAATGCAGAGTTATAGAGCAAGAGCGAGAGATATCTTCCATTCACTGCTTCACTCAACAAATGACTTCAATGGCTGGAGCTAGGCCAGGCTGAAGCCAAGAGCCAGGGACTCCATCCAGATGTCCCATGTGGGTGGCAGGGGCCCAAGCACTTGGAATCTTAACCCACTGTGCCACAATGCAGACCCCTCGTTTGGTTTTGTTGTGCTGTTGTTATTTAGTCACTTAGTTGTTTTGATTTTGTTTAATTTCCTAGGAAATTAAGAGGGGAAAATGTGAAAGAGTTTTACGTCCTTAAAAATACATGAATGTCGCCTTTTTTGGTAAGAGCAGAGAACCTCTGATACCGATAATATTAGAAAATAAATTTGCACTTGTCAAAAAATATGGAGGTCTTGCTACTCCCAGAGCACTTGACCACACAGCTTCCCTCAGCACTTGTTTCTAGAAATTACATACCTATCTCTGTGCTTCTAAATCTCTATTGAGGGTCCCAGTCCAAATAACTCAGATATTCAAATGTCAGCTCTTGGCGGAAGCAGAAAGGAACAATTTTCATTCTTCATTTTCATTACGTATTTTTTCCTCTACTCAATCTTTTTGAAATCAATAGGCCACCTAAAGGGTACAACCAGAAATGAAACCTCATCCAAAATATAGAGAAACATATATTGGATTAAGAAAGCAGTACTGAGAGTATCTATTGAATTCCCCAGCATTTCCTATGTGTAATTTTTTCCATAAGTAATGTGCACTAGGGAATCTGGAAGGCCAGAATTTCTTCCCTCATAAACTCCTCTGCTTATGGGGGGTGGTGTTTTGTGGTTTTTTATTATTTTTTTTAATCATAAACAGAGCTCCCTTAACTGTTTAGAAGAGTTCCATGAACAGAGGCCTCAGGAGGTCAAAGTTAGCTCAAATTCTAATCCTAAGTGTTGTCCAAGATTTGCATTAATTCAGCCCCACTTGAAATCTTTGGTTCTGGGAGGAAAAGAGAACTTGACAATCTGGTTAACATCTGGTTTCTGGCATTAACATAAAACTTTGCTGTAGTTCTCAGTTTTAAGATGCTGTGGAACTCCCTGCAGATAATGCCTGATCTTGGAGAGTTTGATGAAGCAGATGGCTCTTTTAAATAGAAAAATCTAACTCCAGGAGGCAAGCACCCAACAAGCTCCCTCAAAGGAGCAATTGTTCTCTTCCCCAACACCCACTCTGCCCACACCACAGGAAATCACTTTACTCCTCATTACCAACTTTTAAAAAATGAAATAATGTTTGAAATCCAAAGTAGCCGATTATAGCCCTTTGTCTCATTTTCTGATCCCATAGTTGATCAGTGTCTTCTATAGCTCATTCTTAGAAAAATTCAAATTTCTTCCTCATTAAAGATTTCGTTTTATTTCCCCTCAAAACAAGGGAGAACCCTTCAAGCTTTAGCTTCCAGGTACTATCTTCTACACTAAGACTTTGTGTTTTTCCAATTATTTTCCTTAATGCATCAACAGATCTCTCATGACCCAGAAGGCACAGGTAGAGAAGGATCTTGCAATTAGAGAATGAATCCCTCTATGTTCAAAACTCTCTAAAACCTCAAAGGAACAACTGAAATCATCCACAAATACCATGAGCATCACTTTTTCTCCTAGATGAAGGTGAGCAAAAAACAAACAAATGAAAAACCCAACATAAGCCTCCCCACTTAGTAAAAGAATGATATTTTAGTATATATGGCAAAAACAAAATTGTGGCCCCTCGGAATGTCCGCTTCGGGGTCATTTCAACAGTTACTGAGAATCTCCCATGTTGCGTGCACTAGAATAGCTGCTGAGCACACAGGAGTGAATGAGGGAAAGAAAAATCCTTCATTGCATAGCTTGTAGACTAATGAACACCAGTTCTCAGGCATGCACATAGTCTGCTACTTGGCAGAAAAATAAAACATATGACACACTCCAAGCAGAATGGTTCAAAATTATAGGCAATTATTGTCAGACTATCTCAAACTGTATTCATTGTGTTACCATTAAGGAAAATATGGGAATGCAAATTAATGACAGTGATATAGTACATATATCACTTTGAGCAGATCGTATTTTCTTAAAATGCTTCATAAATGTTGGATCTTTATGACAAGCAATAAATATCTGGCAATAAATCATTTACCCCTCACAAATCATTATGAAATTATGGGCCATCTACTCTGGGCTTAAGAACCACAGTCTAATTACCATTTATTTGGAACTGCTCCGCAGGTTACACATCAGCCTGATATCTCATTCAACTTTTGTTACCCCTTTGTAAGAGAGGAGGGACATGCACATTAGTCCCCTTTTGTAGATGAGGAATCATGGCCCAAGTCATTGCATATAATTCTGTTCTGTGCTCTCCTGGCTCCAAACCATATGCCCTTACCACTAACATGGGAGTTATAGATACATCTCTTCTGAGTAATCAAGGAAATACACTATAGCAAAACAAAACAAAACAGGGTAAAGATTTCCCGGCATTAAAAACTGTAACTCAAACACCAGGATCAAAGACAAGTGGAAGGCAGAACACTGAGGGATGCGATAGTTCAATCTGCATACCGTACAAACTAATCTAGAGAATATATAAAGTAACTGCCTTGGTATAGGTTAATATAGCAACAAGACAAGTCAATGGTTTCCTCTCTTCACCCACTTCATTGCTAGATGATGTTCCCAAATCTTCCTCTCAGATTTTCAGCTAGCTTGTTCGCAGCTGCATGGGCAACAAGTTGTTTCAAGTGCCAGTAATTGGACCAGGGTGAACACAAGACCAAATTTAGGCCAATCTGAATCTCCCTGAAATTTGAATGCTGGATTTGTAAGCTGTGGAAAGTCAGGGCTAAGGACCATGAATTATGAGCAGGTAAAGAAAACCAGCCTATAAAGGGAAATGAAAATAAAGCAGACACAGAAAAGAGAGAGGAGGTTCCAGAGAGAAAAAGATAGCAAGAAAATAATTTATTGTCTTTTTACCTTCTTAGTTTTTTTAAGATTTATTTCATCTATTTGGAGGAATTACGGAAAGAATAGGGAGGAGAAAAGAGAGAGAGAGAGAGAGAGAAAGGGAGGGGGAGGGAGGGAGAGACAGACTATCTTCCACTCGCTGGTTTACTTCCCAAATGGCTGCAACAGCCAGGAGTGAACCAGGCCAAAACCAGGAGCCAGGACTTCTTCAGGGTCTCCCATGTGGGTGCAGGGTCCCAAAGACTTGGGCCATCCTCTACTGCTCACCCAGGCACACTAACAGGGAACAGGATGGGAACTGGAACAGCCAGGACTCTAATCAGCATATGGGATGCCGGTGCTGCATGTCAACACTTTGCCCAATGCTGTCCCTACCTTCTTAGAGGCTCCATTCTCTCATTCATCCCTATTGCCAATTTCAGCACAGGATGTAGGATTCCATTTACTCTGTCTCATCTCAGGATAGTTCCTACTCTGTTACAACAGCCTTCAGAATGGTAGGAAATAATACCATTAGCTGATATAGGTAAAACTTGCCTAAATACAATGAAGATATAATCATGACACTATGTTAGTAAGGCCTTTGATTGCAGAAAACAGAAATCTTACTCAACTTGGTTAAGGAAAGAGGAATTTAATGGCTCACAGGACTACAGAAAGGACAGGAGAGTGTGTATTCTCCCATTTCATATATCTACTTATTTTCTGCCTAGTAGGTTTACTTTCTCTTCTCGCAGTAGATTTTTTTTTAAGATTTATTTATTTATTTGAAAGGCAGAGTTACAGAGAGAGAGAAATAGACAGAGAAGATCTTCCATCTGCTGGTCCACTTCCCGAGTGGTTGCAATGGCCAGAGCTGTGCCTATCCGAAGTCAGGACGTAGAAGATTCTTCTGGGTCTCCCATATGGATGCAAGGGCACAAGCACTTGGGCTCTCTTCCACTGCTTTCCCAGGCCATTAGCAGGGAGCTGGATCAGAAGTGGAGCAGCTGGGACTCGAACTGGCACCTATATGGGATGACAGCACTGCAAACACAGGCTTTATCCACTATGCCACAGTGCCAGCCCCTCACAGGAGAATCTTCATGTGACAGGACACCTAGTACGTGACAGCTCCTAAGCTTCATAGCTTCCATCACAGAGAGGACTGAATTATCTTCTCCAGCTGTACTCCGAAGACTCCCAGGGAAGACCTCTCTCACTGATCTAGCTTGAGTCAAATGTTTATCTATCAAGCAGTCAGATGTGGCAAGAGAAAGCACAGTGGTATAACTGGCAGCATCATCTGGTTGTGACAGGGATGGAACCAGCAGGAGGAAGACCTCTTTCTCTGTCTCTCCCTCTCACTGTCTGTAACTCTACCTCTCAAATAAATAAATAAAATTGTTAAAAAAATTAAAAAACACAAAAGCCATCAGCAACAGCTTCATACATATCTATGGTTTGCAATTGTAAGTCAGGGTGATCGTTTTATTATGTCAGGCATAGGAGGGCAGGAACAGAAATGAATATCATTATGAAACTCCATTCAAAATGTTCATTTCCTTAATATCCCTTAAAAAGGAATAAAAATAAAATGCAGACTAGCAATATCAAGGAAAGTGGAAGATGCCTCTTCTCTATGATTTGGTAATTCTATTCCTAGATTTACATTTCAGAAAAACTCTTAGTGTTATCTATCAGGAGCCATGGACCAAAAATCTCTGGCCATTGTGGCCATTTGGAAAGTGAACCAGAAGATGGAAGATCTATCTCTCTCTTTCTCTCTTTCTCTCTCTCTCTCTCTCACACACACACACAATAAATAAATAAACCTAAAAAAGAAAAAAAAATCTAGCAATGAGACTTTCAATAGGAAAATACTAGAACAAATTGAAAATGTCCCTCTGACAAGAGAATAACTAAATTATGTTTTTATATATATAATGGAATATAAGAGTACTCCAAAAATTCATGGAAATGGGATTAAAAGGTAAATATTTTGGTCTCCAAAATTTTGAAATCCAGGAGTAATTTTTTCATAATATACCTTTTTCATGAACATTTTGAAGACTCCTCATACTAGACATTAGTGAAAATAAATGAATTATAGCTACCCATATTAACATGTGTAGATCGCGCAGGCATAATGTTGATCTAATCAAACAGACTACAATTTATATAAAGTTCAAATGCCATGTATTTAAAAAAATCACTTGTGGGAACACACAGATAAAGCTTTCAAGAAAAGCAAAGAGAGGGAGCAGGTGCTGTGGCACAGGATAACCTGGCACTTGGGATGCCTACATCCAATACTGGGATGCCATACTTCCTGCTAAAACACCCTGGAAGTACAGAATAATGGCCCAAATATTTGGGTTTCTGACATGTATGTGCGGTGTCTACATGGTGTAACTGGCTCCTGGCAGACATTTGGGGAGTGAACCAGCAGATGGAAGTTCTCTTTCTCTCTCCCTCCCCTACATATGCCCCTCTCTGTGTCACTCTGCCTTTGAATAAACAAATATTTTAAAAGAAAGAAAGCAAAGCAAGGGATGGTAATTAACTTTCAAGATAGTAGTTTTCTCTAAGTAGACAGGGTAGTATTAAGGGAAGAGCACTTAAAGAGCTTAGAAGGTACTG